TTTGTACCTGTATGTCCATTTAGCAGTAATGCTATGGACATCCAAAAAACCTGCTCATTGGTTAATACAGGGTGTTGATACTTCAAATAGAGCGAATGCTCTGTAAAGTTCAACTTCTGTGCATGCCAGAGGTTCCAATGTACAGCAGCAGCTTCTGAGACAAGAACTTCAGTGGGCTGGCTAAGACATCAAAGTGGCTGACATTAGTTTTCCATTGTGGCAAACATCTACAACACAGAAGGAAACCTTTCTCTTTCCATGAAGAACTCTGCTGTCACTATATCTAACTTCTGTATGTTATCATCAATGCTTTCATCAATTGCATAGTACATATATGCAATCTGTAGTACTTTAATAATATATTGGTGCTATGGAACAGTACTGGTCTCATAGTGAGTGAAGGCAGTGGAATCCGGCTACTTGGAAGTTAATTAGCATGTCTACCAAAAATATTAATCTAATAGTAATTTGGGCTAGGTCAATTTTAAAAATTATTATAGTCTTGTTAGATGACAGTGTAACCTAACATTTCTTTGAACAATCACAGTGCAAAGCTTTGCATACTTGCATATGAGTATTTCATTGAAAAATTTCCCTGAAATCCCCCCAAAGTGTTACTTGTTAGGAGCTTTGTCCCACGGAGTTTTTGTGTTTAAGCCTTAGTCTTAATAGCTCAATTTTTTTTTGAGGATGGAGGAATGTGAGCAAGACACCAATACCAGTCTATTTTAGCAGTTAACACTAGTAGCTATAAAACTGTGGAATCTCTCCCTTCAGCTCTTTTTATAGTCAAAACATCTGGATATAATATCAGGAGATAATAATAAAGGAGATGTGTATATAAGAGGAGTACAAGTTCCAGCCAGACTGCACTGCTTACATAAATACAGAATGTTAGTTAAATCTTTGCTACGTGTAAGGGCTTTTGGATAGCCAGAAATAAATTCTGGGCTGGAGATACTTGGGAGCAGGGCCAACTTCTGTCCTTTTTACTCACTGGTAGGCAATACACAGTAACCCAGTGACCCCAGGAGTGCTTTCATGAACAACCTGAGGTAGACCTGTTAAACCTTTCAATATGTGTAATCTGTTTCAATTAATACATCCAGGAATTCAGATCCTAATTCTTTATGTTGTCAGCCTATTACTGTAAGTACTGTAATTTAAACAATTAATTTGATAATATTTTGCATTTCCCAAGCAGGAGGAGGAAGACTCAGATGAAGACCATTCTCAAAGCACCCATGAGTTATCATCTGGTCCAATGTCTTGCTTTCCTGTTGAAGAGCACCTATGTTACTCACAGGAGGAGAGTGAGCCTGCACATATTTCACCCCTGGATGAAAAGAAAGTTTACAGGCAAACAGCTTTGTCTATGTCCAATTTACATGAGGCAACAATGTAAGTTCTCTCTTTTTTCCCCCTGAATGTTTTAAAACATTTTAGACTTTGTGAGTAAAATATGAGCCTGTAAAAGAAATATGAGCCACACCTGTTGCATAGGTATGTTCTATACCAAAGGAGTGATTCAGTGCCTTCTTATGGGAGAGAGGAGGCAGAGGAGATTCATTGTTTGGGCATCATACTGGTGGTTTGAGCTGTTTATTAAAACAACTTTGTGCCAACTTTTTGTCTCCAGGAAGAGAAAGGTAACTTGCTGAAGACTGTGCCTTCCAGGAACACATAGGTTCTCATAACTTAGGGGATGGTATCTTTCTTTTGTGCTTCGATTGGCATGTCTTAGATGCATAAATGAAGCTAACTAGACTTGTAACACTATGGAGATCAAATAAAAATTACTTAGATTTCTATGTAACTCAACTATGTGTACAATAGTTTGTTCATAAATGCTGGGAAGATATTTCTGTGCATTTTGTCATTATGAAAAAAAAAAAAAGAATGAAACAATTACCAGGAGCAAATTCATAACAGAATTTTCTCTCTGCTTAAAACCCTTACTCTCTGAACACTAGCTAAAACATGGCCTCCAAAAATTTTGCTTCTGGGTACCACTAGCACTTCCACTGCATCACAGTAATGATTGGGAACAGCTGCAAATAGGAACAGGGCTTGGATGTTGACTTTAGTTCAGTTACAGCATTTCCTCCTGTGAGATACTGAGCCCCTTCTACCCCATTAATTCCACAGGGAATTAAGGCTAGTAGCAAGTATCAGCCCTGAATGCTTCTCCTCCTCTGTTGACTAGAGTCTCTGCCTTCCCTTTATTAGCTGGAGTACCAGTAAAAGGGCAGGAGTACAACGGTGTATGGAGTGTGATGGAATGTCTCAGGGCTCTGGTCAGTGCCTGCCAAAGGCCCAGAGCAGAAGGTCTCTGCTACCCAAATCCAGGGCTTTCACAACCCTCCCAAGCACCAGGGGGGTTCATGTTCTTGTCTATGTTTCACAGGCCCGTTCTGCTTGAACATCTCAGAGAAACAAGGGCTGATAAGAAGAGGCTCCGCAAGGCTCTTCGAGAGTTTGAGGAGCAGTTCTACAAACAGACAGGAAGGTAACTCAGCAGCTCAGCAGAGCCCTCTCCTTGTCCCCTTTGGGTCCTGGGCAGGGGTGTTTTTCTCAGTGAGGGTTGGCACTCTGGGGTGAGCAGGCCAAAGGGGCTGCACCTAAGGGCTGGAAAATACCCTGGAAATGTCTGGTCTCTGGAGATGTCCATCTATATCTCTACCTAATTCCTTCAAATTGTGGTCATCCGTGAGGAAAGACAGGATTTGGGGATCTTCCAGGACACACCTGTAATGGGTATAAACCCCACCTCAGCACTGGATATTCCCTGAGCTGAAGGGAGGCTGATAAAAATCTCTTTCTGAGGATGTCAGTCTGCAGGGACAGTGAGGCATTTTTAAACAGACATATTTTAAAACCCGAAGTCACAGATTTTTTTATCCAGAATTAAATACTGACCATTTTTCACTCTGTTTTTCTTCCTCTTCATTTAGCAAACCTTTTTGTTGAAAACCGTGGTGTATGTGGGCACTGGTAATGGTTTTCAAAGCACTATTATGACTTCTCTGCATATTTGAGCATCAAGTAGTTATGCTTCCACAGCTGTCAAGAAAGTTATCTGGTATATGAATATTCAGTATTTTAAAAATTATTTTATTTCTATATATTAGAACTTTTTAGTCCTGTCAAAATATCTTTAGTCATTTACAGTCAGTAAAAAAACCCCAATCCTCACCAGTTGTTGCAATTAATTTTTAAGACTGTTTCTTCTCTTACTCATAAAAAATGATGATGCTTTTATTTACTTTTCATAGGAGTCCTCAGAAAGAAGATCGGGTGCCAATGGCTGAGGAATACTCTGAATACAAGCACACAAAAGCAAAAATCAGGCTCCTGGAGGTTCTCATTAGTAAGCATGATATTTCCAAAACGATTTGAAGTGAATGCAATGCTGTGCTATTGATCTCTAGGAAAAAAAAAAAAAAATCCAAGCAAACAAACAAGTAATGAAAAAGAGAAAGTAATTTTACAGGTCTTGGTCTGCTGCACAATTATTTGACACACTGAGATTTTTGATGCACTTTACCAGTTATAATAACTGTGATGAGAGAGGACAGCAATATGCAAGATGGGTGAGTGGACTATAGAATATATTTTTCCTTTTGAAAAAGCCTTGAAGTGCACTGTGAGAATGTTAAGAAATTAAAAGGATACTGAAGTAATGTAGATTCTCAGTTTGGAGAACTGAGAATTGCTCTAAGTGTGAGGAAATGTTCTGCAGGTTTTTAGTACATCTTAGTACATGCTAACGTGCCACACGTTTGTTTCCAGAATTAACATGTATTATAACTAATTAATAATGTTGGCTATCAAGGTGCTGATTCACTAGGTTAAAAGAAATGAATTAAGGCGAGTGAAAGAAAAACTCAGAACATACTCTAGCTGTCAAGACAGAGTGGCCATTCAATTCCAGTGGCTTCAAAAAAAGGTACACAGGAAGAAGCAGTACTAGGAGTAGAGCAGAGTGATGCTGCTTATGCAAGAAAAGGCCAGAACGTGATGCCAAATGGAACTAGTGGTGTTATAGGAATAAGAGAAAGTGCTTGGCAAAACAAAATAGCTACAGGTGGCTGAGAAAAGGTGGAACAAATGTACTGGCTGCTGTCCTTTACACTAGTTCACAGGACCTGGCTCACAGAATTTAAAAGTCAGTAAATAGATCAACTACATGCTAATTTTGATTTCTCTATTAACCTTTGCACTTTGGTTTGCCTGATGCTATAACATTCGCTTCTCTAACTACCAAAGCTCGTTTAGACGCATGCACTTTGTAAAATGTTGAAGTACTTCTTGTGTTATAAATTGCCACATATATATATATATATGAAAACAGGACTAGATTACTGCATTATGCTAAGATATTTTGGATAGATAAAGTACATGGTATAAAAGTGAGTGTCACAGTTATCTGATGAGGACTGCTAGACTTTTTGTTTACTGAGAATAAGGTTAGAAAAAGTTATTTTTCCATTGGAGTTACACGTTTCTTAACTTTCAGAACACTACACTTCATAATATTAAGGAGAATTGTCACTGTTTGTGATAGGCCATTGGTGTGAAAAGTGGACTAGTAATAGAAGGAGTATCAGCAGGTTTCGTACTAGAAATGAAAAGCAGGGATTCTCGGAAATTCCTTGCCCAGACAGAAAGAAGGGAAGAATTACTTAAAGAAAAAAATAAGGGACTGGAACCAGTTGAATCATGTTTAGTGTTTTGCTTTACCTGTCATTTTGTATTGACCACATAGTATAAGCAAGCTGTTTTCTACCTTGGTAAGAAGATTTTGATTTTATAAAGCTTATTATGTACCAACAACGTTTGTATTTATCTAGTATGTAATGGCATGATTTGGAAAATGTACACATCTTCAAGCAGTATGGAGGAAATAATATGAACACTAAAAAAGGAATTTTTTATTTTGCAGCTGTTTGTTGTTTCAGTTACTGATTTAATACTTTATAACTTTTATGAATCAGAAATGGTCTTCATAAATCTGTTTTAATTAAAGTCATCTAGAGCAACAGGAACAGATACAGAGCTATTTGAAGTTTACAAACTACATCTTTGATAAGGGAAAATGATTTAATGACATGTATACAATTGATATTAAAATGTAATCTATATATTCTATATGATTGTATAATATTTTATACAACAGTACAAATAAAATATTTTTCTATTATATTTATTATGTCGAGACACAGTTTCTGTTTTCAGTTAGCTAATATAAATAACATAAATAACACTGTCAAACAACACGTTGGAAGTGCTGACATTTCTAGGCTCTGAAATTCAAATCATGCTGCAATTACAACCTTTCATGCTGTTCAGTTATCCCAGTACTTGTTCAGTAGTTAAAATGAATGCATATTTAAACACCATTTATAAGCCGTTATTTTTATTTTGCTGAAGCAGTTTATATAGGATTTTGTTATGTTTGGCAAGAAACAGAAAACAATTTTTGCAGCATCTAGGTATAAATGGTTGCCAGAAAGAAATCCAGGACTTCTAATCATTTAAAGCATCGGGGGAACAGAAGGGAAAGAGGGAGAGAAGAGATCCTAAGAAGGCTATTGGAGATTTTGAAGACTGGTAGTTGCTTTTGGTGACAGCGGCATGTGCATGCTTCTGACAGAACTGTCTGACTATGGAAATGGGCAACAGAGGTTTGAAGGCTCCTAAGGAATGAAGGAAGTTTTAACGTCCAACACTGATATTGCAGGTCTTGCAGCTGGGATCTTTCTTTGCATTTGCAGTAGACAAGCTCATTAGTTGGTGACCAGTAATTTCTGCAACTGTGCCAAGGGAGAGATCCACAGGATCAGTGTAAATTACTTCCAAAATAACATCCTGGGCATGATGGTAAACCATGACCCCATCTTCTTCATCGCAGGTCAGAAATTTGTTATCTTTTATATTTAGCTGGGGAAGGCGCTGCTTACAGAACTCATCTCCTGGTGACCCCACGGGGGCGATCACGAGGATGACGTAGTGGTAGGCTGTGTACATGCAGTAGAAGTCTCCAAAGTACAAGTTAGTATTTGGGTTGAAGAGTTTTTCAGCTGCAATCTCATACCTGTATCTTCCATAGGGTGAATCTTGAGGTGGCTTCCCGGTGTTAAACTCAGTGTTGCAGCTAAAGAAGATGCCTTCCAGCTTCCCGCTGATCGGAGAGCCATGGCTGCCACTGTTATCCTTAACAGAGGGCTGCATAGCATTCCCATGATGCTCTCTACAAATGAAGGACTGGTATTGTTTATTTTGTAACACATGGGAAAGAAAAAGTGGAAAGTTATCATGCTGTTTGGAAAGAGGACTGAAGGGACACAAAGGAAAACCATTAAACTGAAAGCTGGGGTTAATGTCATAGTCTTAGGACCAAGAAAATCAAGTGCAATCAGACTTGGGAAGAGCTAGAATAATTCCTGCTCAAGGGGAAAATTTGCATTTCCAGCCTGCCTTCTCTGTCAGCTGTCATATGTATCATATGTAGGCAAAAAAAAAAAACCAAACAAAAAAGCCCCTAAATCACAAATGTCTTTAATTAGCTGATTTGTTCAGACTTCCACTACATTTCTAACAATAAACACATGTTGAATATTGTAAGTCAGTCTTCCTATGCTGAATATACTGTTTGTTAATATGTATTTTTCGCATAGGCAGTATAAAGTTCATGTAGAAAACTGCCAGCGAAAGTTATTTCTGAAGGATGCTTTTCAGAGAGGTTATAGGAAAGAATGTACTGTCTACCAGTAATTTTTGTCCCCAAATGATCAATTCAAGTCTAATTCGTTTAGTGCAGGCTTCAATCAGTGCAGAGCTGGGCACAGAGAATTAGGCAATTTGGTTAGTTTCCACTTTGGTTGGTATCCAGCTTCTGCAGTCAGTAGTCCTAAGAGTAAAAAAATACTTTTTTTTTTTTTTTTCCCAAGCTTAGCTCAATTTCATTCCAGTGAAAATAAATGTACAACAAGTAAATTTTTAAAATGCCAAATCCCATATTATGTTCAGCAGCATCAGGCTGTTAAACTCAGTAGAATACTCCAAAATACCCCATCTAACCCTTCTTAGCCCCTGGGATTTTATGTTATAGCAGGGCAGTCCCCAGGATTTTTGCCCCACACAGCTCTAGAAATGCCCCAGTAGCAGCTTTAGCTTTCTCTGCACATGCAACCACGTGATACCTGAAAGGGAGCCATCCTCTTTTGTAAGTCCTGCAAAACACCATATTTGCTAGGCACCCTTAGAATAAATGTCTTTATACTCATTGACATGACAGACTAAAAATACATGAGACTGTGGGGCTGGAGATTCTTATATTCCCCTCTTGCTTTGCTTTTACTTTTTTTTTCCTTTTGTCTTTCTTTCCTTCTTTTAGGAGAGAGGAAGCTAACCAAGAAAGACTGTTCTTGATCTGCTTTTAATCTGCAACAGGTCTATATAAAATAGTGCTGTGTGGGAGAAGGTTTTGCTTAGTTAACATGGGAGGTAGCAGTCAAAGCAAACAAACTCAGTGTATACATTACAAAACAGCTCTAAATTAACTCAGTAATATCTCCAGCTGTGATTATTTTTTCATTACCTGTAATTTCCTCAGCAGCACATCTTTATTTTACTCTAAGACTTCAGAAGTTTTCTGAGCCATTCAAATACTATCTACTTACTGTCTCAAGCCTTACTTCATGAGACATTGATTGGGGTGGGGGGTATAATTAGTATTTTATGACTGAAGAGATTACTAAGGAGAAAAGAAAAAGAGGTGGAAAAAAATAAAAAAGGTTGAATGAGCTTAAATGACCACCTGAAACCTCTGCAACCTGAAAAGTCAGGCTTCATTCTGAGAAAGTAGGTTCCATTTCTGTGGCAAGATACTGACATCCAGTGGCCAATTAGGCTAATTATAGGTCGCCCTTTTGGGGGACCTGAGCTGCTTTGTGGTGCTCCCAGCCCAGTAAACTGCAGTGACTCAAACACCCCTTCTGAGCTCTCACCTCAAACCCTCCATTTAGGGGATGCTGCTTTAGCACCAGGAGCAGCTGCCTGTGTGCCAGTACTACCAGAGCTTTTCCAGGCTGTGATGATACCAGAGGCCATTGGCAGGCACGGGATGACAAGGAATTTTCCCTAACAGGAAGCACGTGGTTAGGGTATTTAACATAACATACAGATGGATATACTAGGGAGAGATTAGCCCTTGTGACTGTTTAGTCTATTGCTGTTCAAAAGAGGTGACAATCAGCCAGTTCTGGTACTGTAACTTTCCACTGACCTGGTAAAACACAGCTTTTTGTCTCCAGCTCACTAACAGAGGGTAAACAAATTCATCTCTAGCGGTGTTGCACCAAGAAAGAACTTAACAGGAGGAAGGGGAACAGACAGAGTGCAATCAATTAGAGTCACATTTGGCAGAACAAGCTATACAAACCCACAGCTATAAATGCACCTCAGTGGCAATTTTTAACACTAATGAACACAAAGGCAGATGCACTATGATTACATAGCTGAAAACAAAGTAACATGAGGATCAGAACAGCACAGGCATTTCCCTTCTGTGGTATCCAGCCCAAGATGACAGCAGTAGCTTAAGAGGGCCTCAAAGAGCCTCAGTAACTGCAATTTATTCTCTACCTCCACTGAGTTTTGCAGCTTTGTCCCTATGTACAATAAAATAATTCTTCCAAGACACAGACGGAGAAGAGTAAGCCCATGCTCTGCAATATCCAGTACACTCTTGGAATAAATCAGATACCAGTGACTACAAAGTGGGAATGTTTCCAAGCGTGGTGTAGTCTGTTCTTTGAAGCTGGATTACCTTGAGTTGCTTAAAAAACTTTCCATTCTAGGCAGGTACTGGTGTGACACACATAAAACTGAAATTATGTGGCCCATCAGGAGCCCCATCTCCCCATGAATATTAAAGATGCACAGTCAGTGCTGCAGCCTTCCAACACACTGCTTACCTCTCACCCATGTTCTTTTAACAGGAGAAGGTTACCATGTGGGGCTGCTCCTGCTCACTCAGCATACTCCTTCTATCAAAAAGCTGCTTTTTTTCTTGTACTGACACTTCCAACCATGCGTGGAGGGCACACTGGGTCTCCAACAGAGCAGGGAACCTACCTCCAGCTACCCTATTTTTCATTCCAACTGAAGCACGGTGTCGTAACACTGTCTAAACATCGTGCCCTCTCCCTCCTCACATGGTCTGTAAATTAACACTCAGATTGCAGAGTCTGTATAACCGCATTTGGGCATGGAAATGGGATGGTTGGAGAGCAAATATTTGAGATGGAACTCTTACATGCAGGCAAATGCCTATACACACTGTTGTACCCTCCTACTCTCAGTCACCTCACTCTTAATTTCTCAGTACAGTGGAAATATTTGGCTACTAAACTCTCCATTGTGATTACAGATGCTTTAATCAGGCTGGAGGCCCAATGAGTACCTCAGTTTCTGCTTCAAAATACAGGCTTTTATTGCCTAATGGAAGTGCTGAGTTAAGCAAGGTGAAAGAAATGAGTTGTATTTGATTCTTTGCCTTCCTCAGAATGGGTGATAAAGCATACAGACATTGTGCTCTAGCGTTAGCACAGCTGTGTCTATTTACTTATTTTCATTACTCCTTTAATTTGTCAAAGGACTTTGTATATGTTTAGTTTCTTACCTGATATAATCAAAGTATTCTTTGTGCTGATTCCGATAAAAAACAGACAGTTTAAGCATACGGCCTGCAATCACTTCAGCTTTTTCCAATAGCTGTGTTAGGTGAACTTTTGAATAATCTGGAAAGGAACGACAAACTGCTAGTACAGGGGGCAAGAAAATCCAGAACACTCTCCAAAAGCCAGACACATGCAGACTGAAAACTGGGAACAGAATCTTGGTAATACACATCACATCCCAGTTTTCAACAGTGGCAACAAGCAAATCAAATGGCAGGAACAGGTATTCGTGACTCTTCCAACTCCTTCCTTATGAAGATTCTACAAGCCTACAGCAACTTTCAGCTCAGGATTTCCTATGTTAGAGCTGGTTTCCCTATATTTGGGACTGCAGTGTAGCTCAGGACTGCAGAGGAGCTCAGGACTGCCCTCTCTGCCTGCTATCAGTCGACAAACCTGGTTGTGAGCCAACAACCAATGACAGAACTAACTGTCACAGCTAACTAACTGTAACAGCTTGCTTAGGACCCAGCTTAAATGGCTTCAAAACCAACATGGAATTCATAGTGTGCTTGCCTCAGTCTTCAGCTTTCACACAGGCATGCACACTGGCAGCAGGTCATGAACATCCAAAGGAGGCTTTATAAATCAAAGACAGGTCAAAGTGACTCTTGAGATGGAGTGTTGATGGTGTTGAGGCTTTGCAGCATGCAGAGAAGGCAGAGCAGCAGAATTTCTCAAGCTGTCAGGGGGCTGCCTGACACCTCTTCCTTTGCCCCACAGGTGCTGGTAGCCAGTGACAGGCACACAAGTGGCCCTTTCCTGGTCTAGGAGAAGCACTGGTGCCAGGCACAGCACCCTGGGACAGCTAAGCTACTGCATGAGAAAAGGGTGGTCCAACTGCCTCTGCTTAACGTGCCAAACCTCAGCACATACAAAGTCTAAAGTTTGAATTCCACTTTCTAGGGGTGACTATTTAAGGCTACCAGCAATCAACACTGGCAGGTGACCAGCCCAGTCTGGCAGCAGAGCCAGCATTAATTGACTCCAGACTGTGGAACAAGATCCCTCAGCAATGTTACCTGCAGTGCAAAACTCGATGATTTCACTCCACTCTGAAACGACGTAATCACCATCGACCTGTTTCGAGGCTGTCTGCACCGCTACCGTGTACTCTGTCCTGGGGCTCAGGAACCAGTGCCCACGCACTGTCATGGGCAGAGGAACAGCCTTGGCCACCAGCTTGGTTGGTACGTCCTGACAGAAACAAAATGACAAAGGACACACAAGTCAGCAGTGCAGCTAAACAAATCTACCACCCTTTCCTTCACAGCTTTTGCAGTGTAGTCCCCAACCCCTGGATCTTCACTGCAACTTGAGTTTCTTCCCACAGCTGGTACAGCAAAGTGAGCAGTGGTGTAAGGCCTGTTCTAAGAGACATGGGGATAACTTGCATATATTAATGAATTATTGGTTCCAGTGACTGTAGAGTATTACTATTATATATATATAGCCAAAATATATATTTCAGACTAGAACCATTTGTGCTTACTGAGAACAAAGGTATCTTAATGTAAGAGCTTCTTGTGCTCTCCCTGTTTTCTTTCAGCCAATGTAATCAAACAAAAACCCTCCTGCTGTCAATCAGTCCATCTGCACTGCTGCTGCTACCTTCCAAACTAAATTTCAACAGGCAAAATTAAACACATTGCAGAATAAGTACAGCTGGTACACATCTTTCAAAATACCCTTCTGTACAGGAATAGCCAGAAGAAGCCAAACAGCCTGTGCCTATCACTGAACCTCTTGCTTTCCCTTCCACTGCCCCTTCAGATCTCTGTTTTGCTCTTCCAGTATATCACAGCCCCAGGGTGCAACCAAGAAAAATAGCTGCTTGTTGCAGTTTGATATACTTGATTTCTACACTACCAAGATTTTGGTACAGACCACAAAGGGACAGAAAAATTGACAAACAGGACAGTTTATGCTAGAACTGTGGGGGAAAGCACTCGTGATGGAGCTGAATGGTTCTCTGTACCTAAAGAGCTGTGATAGAATGAGAGATATTTACTATTGAATATTCACCAGTAGTAACAGAGTAGTAAGACAGCTGCCATGTGAAAAGTGGATACTTTAAATGACATCCTTAATTGTCCACCCATAAATACTAGTCCACAATCATCTACCTGTAAATACTAGCATAGTAGTCCTTTAAGGAAAAAAAAGAATAGAAGGGAGATATTTTCTGGTCATGATCTCTAAGCAAGATCTGAAGGATTTTTTTTCCCCCCTTGTCTTCTATTATGGAAAAAGATCTTTCTCCTTTTGTTTTCCTATCAACACAAATTATCTTCAGTTTCTGCATTAAGAAACTGTAAAATTAGCAGCTTGGGATATCATAAGAATTGATGTAATTGAGTGAATGCAGGGTAGAATTTTGTTGTCATGATTTCTCTTTTGCCAATTTTAATTTAAATCAAATAATAGTTGGGTGAAAACTTTATCTGAAAAGGAGACAGTTGTGCATGCTACAATTAATAATATGTAGGGAAAAATTACAGAAAAAAAAAAATAGAACACCAGATGATATTTAAAACTACCACTCCAAAAGGCATCCCACTGGACTGAGTCTACTACTGCTAATGCAGTCAGCAGGTGCCACAGTTAACATCATTGTTCTTCCTGTCACCGCTTCTTGGGTTATGGTAAAAACAGCTCCCACCTGGGTCACACTCCAGTGGCAGCTTTTTCCCCATTAATTTTGTCAGTTTTCATGTAACATTAAAAGCCTTGTTGCCCCCAGGTGTCAAAGCTTTACCTTCCAGCTGTGCATCAGCAACCTCTTTTAACCACACCAAAAAAGGGGAAGACTACCAAAATAAAAAGAGTAAAAAGAAAGAGGCAGACCACCACATTAAACTGAGGGGTTTATATCTTGTACAGCTGGAGAGGGGGGGCAGATGTGGTGCTTCTCACAGCTCTAATCTGCTGGTTTTTTTCCTAAGCAAACACCACTTTCTTTTTTTTTTTTTCTTTTTTTTTTCTGCTACAATGCAGAGGAAATGTTCAGATGTTCACACTGAGGTTCCTCTGTGGATTCTCCACTTCTCCCTTTCATCTCTCTTCTGCTCAGTGCTCATTCCTGGCTGAGCCACCAAAGATGTGCAAAACAGGTACTATGCCAGCTCAAGGAGAGCCAGGATTCTAGAGTGGCAGATGGCTGCTCCACTACCAGCACCCACTAGACAAATCTAAAGGTACCTAGATAGCAATAATTTCTAAGAACAGCCTGGAAGCTTTGAATAACTAAGCAGCAAGATGTATGAGTCACTCTGCTCTCCTTTTTGGGAAAAGAGGCAGCTTTCAGTCTTCAACTTTCTCCCATTTCATGTTACCCTTCCCTTTGCCAGGTTATTTTGTAGAACACATTGTGGGAACTCAGCACACCCAGATTCTAGTCCCAGTTTATCTAAATATTTGAGTATTTTTCTTACTACATGGGAGTAATAATATTTACATATTTTAAAAAAGAGATGAAGTATGCAAAATGAATTGAAAAGAAGACAAAATCTTATTACAATTCTAGTCTTTGCACATCACTACAAATACAAACCTTCTCTTTCGCAGAGATGATGATGATAGTAAAAAATAATAAACCTTTATGCACCCTAACTATGCTGAATATACTTTATATATTTATCAACAGAAACAGTATTGGAAGGATGAATCATTCATGGATGGTCTCCCAGGTGCATGAGAAAACAAACAGCTCCCTTTCCTGAGGTACAGCATGGATTTATCAGGTTAAGCTTATATCCCAAGTAACTTACAGCTATCTGAGCAAATTGATACTTAAAGTGCTAATTCTGTATAAGTCAGAAAATGAGCTGGTCCTTTGCATTATCACTGTGAGAGAGATGGGCACTTGTATTGCTTTACCCTACCTGGAAGCTAAGTAAGGATGAATTCTCCTTGCACATGCATCTGCAGGGTGATGTATGACTCCTAGGAGTAAATCCCAATGCTCTTTATTGTATCTAGGCAGTAGGGCTCCCTCTTCTCTCTCTGAAAAGCTCTGCTAGGACAAAGTGCAGTGCTATCCCTCTCTTTTATTCAAAAGCTTTGCTAGAAAGTCAGTGGATGGGTGGGGACTGAAGTAAGTTCCCTGCTGTGAGGATTGAGCCCTGAGTGCTGCAGCTGCTGGGCTATCAGCTCCTGCTGCTGACCTTCAGCTGGGTAACTCCTGTGGCCAACCGTAGAGGGAGGAAGGATGCTCGTCTTGAACCATACCTGGGTTACACATTTGGAATATGAGCACTTCAATTATTAACCAAAGGTCGTCGTAGAAGGTGTGTTAAAAATTGCTTAGTACTAAAGATGCATGAAAGTGAACACCCAAGTGCTCTGGAACAGAGTTGGAGTATTCAGTCTGTGCTTTACTATTGTCCACCCTCTCTGCTCCTTGGATCTCTGTCACTCAGGCTTGGGAATAAAACCATCCAAAAATTACATGCAAAAAAATCTTAACCAAGTCACTAACAAAATTAGTAGCAAGCAATTTTCAGTTAATTCCAACAAGACATGCAAATTATTCATCATTTAATTGATGATGATTTTACTTGCTCATTCTTAGAAAACCAATTACCTTTGTCCTATGACTAAATACTACTGCACAGTAAAAAACTAAGGAATTGCTGAGAATCACAAAATAAATCTAATAGTTTATCTTTATTACACTACCAATATCCTTTTCCCCCTATCCATTTTAAGTCTAGTCTCATCACTGTGATAAAGATTCTGAAGTGTATGTGGTGTTCACTCTTCTAGGATGGCTCTACTTTTCACAAAAATAAATGTTGCAAGTATACACCAGTCTGCACATGAATGAAAAACATGTAGAATAATAAAAGAAATGAAATTAGAAAGAATCCATCTCACTTTAGAGAGTATACGTATTCCTGCACTTTAAAATGGGAATTTCAATTCAAAGGCTGTCAGTCCAAAATTAGTAAGAGTAAGAAAAAACTACTTTATTTGCTTTTACAATTAAAAATGGGGAAAAATATATGTCTATAATAACATTATGTTTAGTAGTGCTTCACACACTGGTTCCTACCAACTGCAACACCCTGGCCAAACATAAAATTCTCAATTTCAGGCTATAGTAAGTGATTTTTCATTACTCTGAATGCATATGTTACTTCCAGCCAAAAAAACAACAACAAAAAAGGTCAAATAAGAAAATTATTCACATTACATTAACAGAAATCTCATGGAAAATACTCTCATAATAAAAAGCCTCAGAGAAATTGGCGGGAATATTTTCTGTTTATCCCACTGGCTTAGAAACCAGCAGTTATTTAGGTGCTGAGATAATTACAGCCCTTACATTTGTTTGGACAGTTATTTGTGCCTTGGCAAACCTTATATTTTAGATAATGCCAACATTATTTTTAAATTTGAAAAATGTTCTATCTCATTCCATGTTTCTCTAGACATCTCAGTATTTCAACTGTTCTGAGGTCAATGCAAATTTTGCTGGATTTGGTAAGTACAGATCCTGCAATGCCTTCAATATGTTCCTGCACCAGAGGCTTGAGGAAAGAGGCCAGATGAATATTCAGGTCACAGTGCTGAGTGCCGCAAACTGAAATTGCTGGAAGCTTTCCTGAAGTGCATTAGAATTCGTGGCTCTTCTGTTGAACTGATATGTGCTGCTCTCAGGAGTCTGTCACTGAACAAGGACAGGCAGAGAATACACACATTTTGTAAATAATGATAAAGAACTAGTCAGGAATAAAAATGGCAGTCTTGCACTACATTAGAGAGGTTCCAAACGTGCTTTTAAATGAAACAGAAAATGTAATGCGCAGTTCTCTGTGGAACAAATGTATTTGTGTGTACATGCACAGAGGCTGAAGGTAGATGAGATTAATCAAAACCCACCTTTTCTGGATATCCAATTCCTGTTCCACATGGCCTGGCTTTGAAAGGTTAATAAAACACAGAGATTCATCTGTTTAAAAATCAAGTATTTGTGCCTTGATTTTTAAATTAAAATTACCTTGTGTTTGAATTTGTTGGAATTCTTGTTTTCTTTCTTGTTGAGATCGATGAAGTAATGAGTAATGCGATCCTTGGATTTAGAATCCATGTCCCAAGAAATCTTGAAGGAATCACATGTGATGTTACTTATTTTGATGTTGTGTGGGACTGGAAGCTCCTCCATCTCTGCAATCCCACTATCTTGTGATTTATTCCCTGTGTAGAAAATAAGCACGATTAGTTCAGTGAAGGACCCATTTGATCACTGTTTTGTGTGCTCCAGTACAAGCACATCCCTGAACAGCCTTTCACAAAGGCTCAGAGGGGCTCCTCAGGAGCCAGTGGGGTACAGTTATGCAAGTCTGGATGCCAGAGATGGAAAGCACTGGAAAGGGATGAAATTCCTTGGGTGAATAAGCACTAATAATATGGTGCACGGAATAGCAGGGCACACAGAGTGTCTGGGCATCACCACAGTGTTTGCAGGCTGACAGGACAAACCATCTGAAGCTATCAAGTGCTCCGAGGTTCATTTAAGAAGCCAGCAATGCCCACAGTTAACATAATGGCCCTATCAATATCTGTCAGCAACCTAAACACAAGCAGAAATCATATCCATCCTTAAATCATTTTTTAAGCATGAAGCACAGCCAATCTCTGCAAGTTTTATAGATGGTGGATACATATGGACATATATATACATTTTAAAAAGCAACTTCTTTGAAATGAAACAATTACCATTTTGATGAGTCACAGCAAAAGGGAAACACAAGAAAACTTCATTTTCTGTTCTTTTTCTTTCAGTTTTCCCAGCTGAGAATGTGCAGTTTTCTTGGGAAGTTATTTTCTAAGTGCATATGGGAGATGGACAAATGACCATTGACCCCCCAAAAAATCACTGGTTCTAAATTTAGGTCTTCCCTTAGTTCCCAAGGCAACTTTATAGTTCAGTGTTCCATGAACATTAGAACTCAGAAATGTTAGGTGTTCTTGCACTTACATAAGACCCAAGCCAAAAGTGGACAAATGGAACAAAACCAGGTAGCTGAGAAAAAATACTGGGTAAAAAAGGAAAAAATCTATATGATGTAAAAGAAGAAGTAAAGAAACAGAACAGAGAAACAAATGAAAATTGAACATAGATAAGGACAGATAGAACCAAAGGAGAATACAAAAAGCTAACATCTCTATAAGAAAGAGAGGAAAGCTCCTAAATTCTGGCCAGATGAAGAAGATGGGAAACTCATGCAGGGGTGTGAGGCATTGTTTTGTCAGAATCATTCATAGTCACATCTAATTATAGAAAAATATAATCTTTATATTTTCATCATAACTGGTAAAAAATGATTAAAAAAATGAACTCAGAGGTTCAGTAGTAAAAGTAAAAATTTTACTTGCAAAACATTAGGAACATTTCAGCCATTCAACATACCCTGCCAAAGAGTTATTCCAGCACTTCGATGCAGGAATATTACTGTGGGTCTGATTGTTCAAAATTCTACTCATAGATACATGAAATTCAATCACAGAATCTGCAAAATTCATAGATTTCCAGCTAGTATTGTGAATAATGTATTTTTACTGACTTCAAAAACTAATACAACTATTTTTCTATTTTTGTTTTATTTTATGCATTTCCATCCAAAAGGTTTTCTATTCTTCAAACATTCTATTGCTTTTTTTTTTTTCTTTTCCCTTTTTCAACTAATACCAAAATCAGTTAGTGCACGGTCTAGCTCAAAATGCCCCCCTATTTGTGCCATACACAATGACATTTTCAACAGCTGCACTGGCTGCAACATACTTAGAAATACCAGTCAATACTGAGAGCTTTCTCTTATGAAAGACATGGTAAGTGCTTTTCCCAACATGACATTTCAGAAAGCCAGCAAGGAGAAAATGGCACTGCTTTCTTTTGCAAGCAATTTGTATTTGAAAGATGACTGAAAGCTCTGCCAGGTACACTGAAAAGGCTTTGTATGATTGGCTCTTCCAAAAGCAAGGCTCTGTATTTAAGCAGAAGATGCAGCATGGCTGCTGAGGTTTTCAGAGCTGGAGAGCTAGACAGAGACCCCAGCAGACTGTATAACATCCTGAACAGACATGCAGCCAGGAAATCCAAGCCATAAATCCACAATACCTTAATGTGCAAATTATTTGCCTAAAAATGAGCTTCTGTACTCTATACCCAGGGCCTGAGTCGTGTTACAAACAGCCAAGGTGGTTTAAGCCTCAGGACACATGCAAAGCAGTAATGACCATTGACAAGAAGTAACAGAGAGAAAGAAACATTTTGGAGAACGCCAATGGCAAAGAGCAAAAGTGCTTCTGGAAATAGGTATCATTTTCTCTGCATTTCTTGGTATTAGTATTTGGCACACATCTTCAGATATCTTCACTCCCATTTTTTAAAATTTATTTGCTTTTGAAGTGAATAAACAGCTTTAAGTAAATGTCAAGCAGAAAATCTCCAGGAAATTTTTAGAGTTAGGGTAGGGGCTAGGCTTGAAAGAGTCAATGAGCCTACATCTTCAGGAAAACTGGGGCTGGAAAAGGCCATCCTGGCAAGGTCCCAACATTGCTGCTCCTACATCTTTGTGATCTGGAAACCCATGGTGCTGGGGTTAGGGGTAGGGTAGTGGTTAGATAGAAAACTAGGTGACACAACACACATATTTAGGGGTAGTATAAAGACTACAAAGAAGACTAAGCACACCTAAAATGCCAAGCTCCTGAAGAACCTCCATATCTAACACTGGCCTTTCTCCCAGGACTGAAAGTTTGCTACAAAAAAGAAAGCCCAGAAAGCCCAGCAGTGATTGTTCTGTTCACCCAAACCATGTCTGTCTGTACTCAAGCACCTCAAAGCAGCCTCCAGGTTGCTGCGATTTTTTTATGGTGGGTGAGACATCCAGAAGCCACTTAGTGAATTGGGAAAGACAAAAGCACGGGGAAGCCCTGGTGATATCCTGCAACCAGAAACTGGGAGGAAAGTCAGTGGGACCGTGGTGACGCTGCTTCTGTGTCAATATCCCACTACACTGATGTAATTTCACCCATCAGGGCTGCTGTCATACAGGAGAGGGTGTTCCAAGTGCTGGGTGTATTGTCTCTGGGAATACACACATTAACTCCTGCAGTTAGTTCTGTGAGGTGTCAGCTCCATGAAAACCAAGGAATGTGATGAGAGAAACGCAACTCAGGTTCATGAGCCAGAAATAAGCAAGGCAAGACTGTACTCACAAAGTACAAAATTAAAAGCTAATGCTAGATTCTTAATACATTCTGGGAAGATGTCTGAAAAGTAAAATATGTGTAGATGGAGATGAGAAGCAATTTCTGAGACCCTGAAAAGATCAGGTTTATATCTATACAGCTACCAACAGCACATGTAATAAACACACTAAAAGCCAAACAAAATTTTATAATATGAATCACATTTTAAAAAAAAATCTCACCTTATTCAGATTTTAAAATGCATGCACTAGGGAAATCAGTATGTGGTTTTCTCAAGGTAACAATTTCAATACAACAAGAGATATCAGCTATGGTATTTTGAAGTAGGAATGTTTGATGAGAGGGGATCAGAGTCTTAAGAGCACACAGGTACCATGACATAAGAAATCCTCGTATTAGACATGGATGCTGACAACTGAGAACAACTCATTTACAAACAGGTACGTCCATAACATGAACAGAGAAACCCTTACACCTGCTGAAATACAAAAGTTTCTACCTTTTCTTGTCTTGATAAGTCAGCTGATAGGTTATATATCAGATCAACAAAGGTAAAATATTTTAATTACAGAAATCTGATATAGACTGACAATATTTAAGTGCTGTAATTGAGACTGAATTCTCCAATTTACTGAGAAGGTATTTAATTTCCTCAAAAATTCAGTACAAGGGAGAAAACTTCATTCTCTATAACCATCAAAAATGACAGGGAAGTACCAGGAAATTACATATTAGCTGCTACTTTAAATTTTACTAAGCAAAAATACAGTCTCATATTTTTCCCCTGTGCTCTGGAATGAATGAATGGCTTCCTGTCCAACTGCTGCCTATATAGAATTGTTTTACAGAGCCAGGACAGTATGTCCCCACCATGCAAATAATTAACCTGAATACCAACATTTCAATGTTCACTGCAATACCTTGTTCAAGAGAGACAGTGAAATCACACAAAGGAAACACAAATGCAACAACACTCAAAAAATTATTAAATCGAGGCTGTTATTTGTTAGGCTATCTAAGTGCACTTCTCTAGGATAGTTGTTCTATTTCAAAGCTCAGTTCTTTATCTGCAACCACAGAACTAATGTTTATGTTTCATTTGTGCCTCTTTTCATGGACAAAAGAAATGAGTGAAGAGTCTCAGATTTTTAAGTGTCTCTGTCTCTCCTCTCCCCCAGAATCTTTGTAAGCTATCTCCCAACAGAGATTTTTTTATACTTACATAAGCATATTTAGGAATATTTTCTAAATAAATATCCTTGTAAAACTAATTCCTAAATTAGATAAAGAGAGAATGCTTGACCCTAGAAATCCTGTTAGAGGGATAAGCCCCTCTAAACCTTCTCATTTCCTCCCCGTTGTCTGATACTACTGTTGTGCATTTTCTAGTAAGAAATGTGCATTATATCCAAAATTTTAAAAAAATAGTTCAAAAAATAGATCATTACTTAACTATAACATGTATACGTGTATTTACTGAGTGTTTTTGAAATGTTCATATGCATTCAGATTCTTTTATTACTTGGTTTTAACAGCTTAATTTGTTTCCTGCTAATCTAGGACATTGACTTCAGCAGGAATATTCCACATGCAAACCAAAGAGAACACAACTGGACTCTGCGAGTACAAATGTGCCTTCAGTACAGGCATCTTCTTCAGCTGAGAATGCCCCCCAAAGACTGCCCACATAAACAAAGCTCTGGGCAATCTCCGGATTGCTTGGTTTCTGTGCTGAAAAATTTGTCTCAGCCCCTTACAAAGGACTTGATTCTTCCTCCTTCTCACACGGAGGATGAATGTACTCCACAAGTGTTGCCGTGATTCAGATCAGCAGCAGCCCGATCCCTCACTCCTGCCACTGCCAGCGAGAGATGTGCAGGCTCCCAGCTCCCAGGGGGCAGGTCCTGCTCTCGCCAAGCCTGGTTTCTCAGTCACCAGGGGCCCGAAGCCTCATTCTGCAGGCTCTGCCACTTCTCCCG